ACTAGTACAAGCAGACACACACGTGCATGCACGTCGCTATATAAGTGCAATAATATTGGAAGCGACGTTAAACCCCATTTCACCTCACCTCACACCAAGCACCATGAAGCGATATTTCATCTACACAACGGGGGCCTGTAAATAGTCGAGACTGAGCCACACAAACGGCGATCTCACAAGAAGGTACCACGTGGTCAGGAGTGGGGACACGCCACCAAGTCACCGAGCCACTTGCTTCTAACCCAGGACCCCCGGGATCGGAAATGTTCGTGAATTCACAAAAAATTGAGGGTTGTTTATTGGTATTAACTTTGACTGCAGAACTCTTAGACAAAAGACTGCAAAGGGAGATAATCAAAGAGCCACGAGATCGAGGCGTTGCCAGGGAAGTAACACATTTCTTCGTCATCCTAAGTCAATAACAGCGACCGTATGATAGCCATGGCAACCATCCTAATCAATACCTGGCAAAGACGACAATCTAGTTATGCTGGTATGAAAGTATGTCAGGGGTAATTAGTCAACACCGGAGAGATTGCTATTTATAGATGGGGTAAACCCGACAGTCGGAGTATTTCATGGTTACCATTGTTCCCAATGTCTACTTACATTTACTTTATGTAGCTTGTATTTTTATATGGCAAACATGTGTTGCTGACGAGCTACTCTCTACCCACATCCTCACGGGTCGCTACATATTGTGAATCAGATACTCTACTGATCGCGCGTATGACGTTTTATGTCGAGTCAAATTAACAATATTTGTCTGGCGCATTGAGCACTTTGATTAGCTTACACGGGTAATCAAGTCAGTGAAATATCTGTTTGTTAGTTACAAAGCGTTCTTTGTTTGTACAGGTCGATACAAGATGAATATTTGTCAGGGGCATCACGTCCTTTGTACAGGTTGTTTCAAGTTATATATTTGTGTCAGGTACATCACGTTCTTCGTTTATTCTGGTCGAGTCAAGTTATATATTTGTGTCAGGTTCATAGCGTTCTTCGTTTATTCTGGTCGAGTCAAGTTATATATTTGTGTCAGGTACACAGCGTTCTTCGTTTATTCTGGTCGAGTCAAGTTATATATTTGTGTCAGGTATACAGTGTTCTTTGTTTATTCTGGTCGAGTCAAGTTATATATTTGTGTCAGGTACATAGCGTTCTTCGTTTATTCTGGTCGAGTCAAGATGTATATTTGTGTCAGGTACATCACGTTCTTCGTTTATTCTGGTCGAGTCAAGTTGTATATTTGTGTCAGGTACATAGCGTTCTTCATTCATTCTGGTCGAGTCAAGTTATATATTTGTGTCAGGTACATAGCGTTCTTCGTTTATTCTGGTCGAGTCAAGTTATATATTTGTGTCAGGTACATAGCGTTCTTCGTTTATTCTGATCGAGTCAAGTTATATATTTGTGTCAGGTTCACAACGTTCTTCGTTTATTCTGGTCGAGTCAAGTTATATATTTGTGTCAGGTACATAGCGTTCTTCGTTTATTCTGGTCGAGTCAAGTTATATATTTGTGTCAGGTACACAGCGTTCTTCGTTTATTCTGGTCGAGTCAAGTTGTATATTTGTGTCAGGTACACAGCGTTCTTCGTTTATTCTGGTCGAGTCAAGTTGTATATTTGTGTCAGGTTCATAGCGTTCTTCGTTTACTCTGGTCGAGTCAAGTTATATATTTGTGTCAGGTACATCACGTTTACTCGAGAGCAAAGAAGGAGCAAACCATGCTGTGTGAGCAGTGTCACCTATTCACCACGGCTGCTGTTATAGGCCACAGGCATGAGGTAAAACCTGGAACAAATAGTAGAAAGCTGATTTTATTTTCTGAAGACCTTCAGAAGGTCATACTAAGTTCCACCTTGCGGCATTTGGAAGATGGTCGCCAGTTCCAAGAAGGACGCCTTTATTTTTGAAAATGATATGAAGTTTTGTTGTTTTGCATACGTGATATCATTAAATATATCAAATGAAGCTCTTTTAAAGCTATAAACCTTCACACAATATTTGATTCAACCTTGTGATTTAAATAGGATTTGTTTTATAAGCATTTCATATCATTTTCAAAAATATTGACGGCCATCTTGGAACAGGTGGAGAGAGAGAGGGTGGGTTGGGGTGGGGTGGGTGGGGTGGGGGGGGGGGGGGGGGGGGGGGGGAGCGGGGCCTTCACAGCTGATATAACTATATGATAGTCAAAGGATATAATTTTATACAATTGTCAGCAAACGTGTGTATAAAGTTTCACTCATCTGCATTGGATCTTCACGAAGTGTGTGTATTAGTTGTTTACAGTGTGGAGCATGAATGCCATCTCTTGTTACCCTGCCCCCTTATACTGACACTAGAGCGCCATTATTCAGAAGATGTACCCAAGTCTGTGATATTGTTAATGATTGTTCTGATGTTGAAAAATTGTCTTTTATACTGGCCAACCAAGATGTACTATTCTTAGCTACCATGACCTGTAAACCTTTATTACAACAACGCAAATCTGTTTCATATCATGGTGTGTTAATTGCTATTGCCTGTTTTAAAATGTGTGTTGGCTTAACTAATGTTTTATGCGCCTTTTAGTAATTAGTTTTTATGTAATTCGTCTCTTAATGGTCTCTTAATAATTCATAGACGTGTGGCTCTGTGATGTTTATTTTACAAGGTCATTTATCTTAATATGTAAACAGAGGTGAGACTGTCATAAACAATCTGTCTGTCTGTCTGTCTGTTTGTCTGTCTGTCTGTCACAACAGAAGAGACTGGAATTAGCGCTCAACCGTCACCGTGTCTTTGGAATGATTGTAGTTAGGTCAGGGCCTGGGGTGGAGCGGTGGTCTGAAGCGTGAGTGAGATAACGGGATTGTTAACCTGATACTACTGCCACTGTCTCCAGGGCATAAACTCTCAGGCTGAGAAAGATAACATTAATGGCACAAAACCGGTCTAAGAAAAAGTCCTGGAGCTTCTAGCATCATAAATTTATGTTCGTCTCATCAGCAGAGGTCCCACCCTGCGAGGAAATGTTATTTGCGGCCAAATCTGACCCGACAAGAGACTATATATGTTGAATTTAGCCATTCCTTACAACCGTACACACTTCTCATCACCGAGAGAGCATTAAGGTGCATAAAGGTGATTTTAAAGACGTACTCTGATGCGTCGGGTAAACTGTCACTGTGCTTAGCCTTCACATTCTTTGTCATCAACCTTGCAGTCATCACCCGTTACTTACCAGCCTCAACAAAACGACTCATTTCACCTGTGCCTGAATCAATCACAGAACGTATTTACTGAATATAGATTTGTTTCGGCAATATATTATTATAAGACGCCAATGTTCCCATCCTCTCGTCTCTGTCAGGCTGACAGACATCTAGTTTAATTACAGATGTACATCATAAGAAACATAAATAAACTAGTAGTGTACTTAGTATGTATATAAGAAAGTAATTAGAGGTGTATATAAATTGTACTTAGTATGTATATTAAAGTGTATTTAACGTGTATATAAAATAGCACTTTGTATGTATATAAAATAGTATTTAATGTGTATATAAAATAGCACTTTGTATGTATATGAAATAGTATTTAATGTGTATATAAAATAGCACTTAGTATGTATATGAAATAGTATTTAATGTGTATATAAAATAGCACTTAGTATGTATATAAAATAGTATTTAATGTGTATATAAAATAGCACTTAGTATGTATATGAAATAGTATTTAATGTGTATATAAAATAGCACTTAGTATGTATATAAAATAGTATTTAATGTGTATATAAAATAGCACTTAGTATGTAAATGAAATAGTATTTAATGTGTATATAAAATAGCACTTAGTATGTATATAAAATAGTATTTAATGTGTATATAAAATAGCACTTTGTATGTATATAAAATAGCATTTAATGTGTATATAAAATAGCACTTAGTATGTATGTGAAATAGTATTTAATGTGTATATAAAATAGCACTTAGTATGTATATAAAATAGTATTTAATGTGTATATAAAATAGCACTTAGTATGTATATGAAATAGTATTTAATGTGTATATAAAATAGCACTTAGTATGTATATAAAATAGTATTTAATGTGTATATAAAATAGCACTTTGTATGTATATACGATAGCACTTAGTATGTATATAAAATAGTATTTAATGTGTATATAAAATAGCACTTAGTATGTATATGAAATAGTATTTAATGTGTATATAAAATAGCACTTAGTATGTATATAAAATAGTATTTAATGTGTATAAAAAAATAGCACTTAGTATGTATATGAAATACTACTTAGTACGTACATAAAATAGTACTTAATGTATCATGATGAAGTCAAGCATTTCACATATTCTTTTTCAGTAAACTTCAGGTGGCATGTGGTATCATTTTTGCAATTGTCCTAAACCTCTGAACATAGATGGGGGCACGGGTGGCCCAGTCGTCTAAGGCGCCGCGATTCGCTGTGCCTTGGGCACGCCAGAAACCTATGATTGTGGGTTCGAATCCCGGTTCGCCCCGATTATGTTTCTAGGTTTGTCAGCACCATACCCTTGCTCGTGGGTTTCACCGAAGTGGTAAACGTCTGAGACCTGCATCACTTCGGGCTTTCCTCCCACATTAAGCTGACACGCCGTGATATAACTGGAATACTGTTAAAAGCGGCGTAAAACCACACTCACTGACTCACTCACTCTGAACATAGATACATAACAATATCTATGTTTCACCACGTTCAGAAACAAACGCCCCATAGCTCAAGGAATGAACTTTGTCTTAAGTTAGTCGTGTGGGATAGGGGTTACAGACCCCCGTCATATAGCTGGAATACTGCTAAGTGCGGCGTTAAACAACAAACACACATACAAAACAAGTTATACACCCCACCGGTCTATGCGTGTATCCCCACTGCAGCAGGGTCAGTAATGTTAAACATCTTTTCAATCATGAATTTCAGGACGTATGTGTTACATTTTAACGTCTCTGTTTCAGAGTTCCTGTTGCTGGTTGTCTTCTGTGTTTTCACGGCCCTCATGGCGTACCAGTGGCGGGCTGAGTTGCAAGTCTATCACATGTTCATCAACGGCTCACTGTCGTACCCGGCCTTCATTCCTCCCTCTCCTGCAACGCTGAACTCGAGTCAGAATGCCACTGATCACTTCCTCTGGACAACCGATACCTCTCGGGTATCTCCACAGGAAGCATCAAAACTTTCACCAACTTCCACAAAAGTACAAAAAACATCCACCCCTTCCGCAAGAAACAGCACGACGACCACCACTCCGAAACACATACCAACCACATTGACGACTTCCAGCAACCACAGCGCCACAACAACAACTCCACGGCCAATACTGACCACCCCTCCCCCAGCACCAAAGCCTCTAGTGTGTAAAAACCCGTTCAGGAAGGAGTACATCAAGAAGCAGAACTTCTTGTGTTGCAGGCCTATTGGGAGACTCGGCAACATGATGTTTGTGTATGCGTCGTCCTATGGAATAGCTGCCTCGAATAACAGGACACTGATTGTGGACAAGGGGTTAAGTCTGACCAAATATTTCAACCTTAATGCCCAATTAGTGGATGACTATAACTGTGTGATCACAGGGACGAGGGGTATGGGGTCGAGGCAGGACTGTGCGTTCGACGAGCGTCTAATGAACATCACTTATGGGCGGAACACGTGTGTGGGGAGCTATTTACAATCATACAAGTACTTCGAGCATGTAAAGGAAGCAATCAAGAAACAATTTACATTCAAGAAGGAAACCAGAAACAAAGCGATGGGCATTATAAATGGTGCTATAAACACATTCCATAAACGTAATACGACAGTGAATGACACCCGCCCCGTGTTGGTCGGCGTCCATGTGAGACGGGGCGATATGGTTAAACACAAATTTGGTTATGCAATTGCAACGCCAGAATATTTAGGAAATGCCACTAAGTATTACCGGGACAAGTTCCCCAATAGGTTGTTTATTGTGTGTTCTAATGATATGACATGGACAAAGCAACACGTTGTTGGTGATGACGTCTTCTACGTGGAGGGGAACACGTTTGAAGTTGACATGGCGGTGTTGGTGAGCTGTAACCACAGTCTGACCACTGTGGGATCCTTCAGTTGGTGGGCGGGGTTCCTGGCAGGGGGACAGGTTGTGTACTATCAGTGGCCAGCCATCGAGAAGTCAGGACTTCGGAGACACTTCTCAGCCAATTACACAGATTTCTTCCCCCCTTCCTGGATCGGGATGTAGTGACCTACCCGAGGTTGTGTATATATTTGGGCAGCACCTCGTGATCAGGATTAAGTGACGCGTGTTACCATGCATCTTAGTGGCAGCACCTGCCGTGTTGATGATGTCGTGATCAGGATTAAGTGACGCGTGTTACCATGCATGTTAGTGGCAGCACCTGCCGTGTTGATGATGTCGTGATCAGGATAAGGTGACGCGTGTTACCATGCATCTTTGCGGAAGCACCTGCCGTGTTCACGAGACAGGACACGCCTTGTAAAGACGAGTTGTTACTGAGGGCTATTTGTGCTGCCTTGTCGTGATGACAGAAACACATATTATCATTGCACAGCTTGTTGGACATAACACACACGGTGCCTTGTTTTGAAAAAAACCCTTTTAGGTCGATGTGGAGTTTAACTCACAGATCAGTGATACAGTTTCATGTCGCGCCGCACTATCATGTGGAATCGGCGTATTTCTTGCAATATATATGTGTTCGTTAGCAGATTATTTTTCAATATATGTATGTTAAAAGTGACATATTATACCTAACAGACAATCGATACCATCCATGCATTTCCGACATTTCTGAAATGTTGGTTTGACCTTGTGTTTTCAGTTGATGAAGAACAAAGTGACTGGTGTCTGGATTTCGGAGACACGAAGCGACCTGTGATTGTAGTGTTTTCGCCTGCCTTGTAACGTTTGCTCTAGTACCTAATAATCCGTATTGTTTGTTCCTCAGTCACGGGGGTGCACGGGTGGCCCAGTCGTCTAAGGCGCCGCGATTCGCTGTGCAGAGTTGCGTCCCTTGGGCACGCCAGAATCCTATGATTGTGAATCCCGGTTCGCCCCGATTATGTTTCTAGGTTTGTCAGCACCATACCCGTGCTCGTGGGTTTCACCGAAGTGGTAAACGTCTGAGACCTGCATCACTTCGGGTTTTCCTCCCACATTAAGCTGACACGCCGTGATATAACTGAAATAATGTTGAAAGCGGCGTTAAACCCAACTCACTCACTCACTCACTCCTCAGTCAAGAGACACTTGTGTTGTTGTCCAGCACCACACCTGCTTCTCCCCGTGTGACGTACATGTACTGCCTCCCCGTGTGACGTACATGTACTGCCTCCCCGTGTGACGTACATGTACTGCCTCCCCGTGTGACGTACACGTACTGCCTCCCCGTGTGACGTACACGTACTGCCTCCCCGTGTGACGTACATGTACTGCCCCCCGTGTGACGTACATGTACTGCCTCCCCGTGTGACGTACATGTACTGCCTCCCCGTGTGACGTACACGTACTGCCTCCCCGTGTGACGTACACGTAATGCCTCCCCGTGTGACGTACACGTACTGCCTCCCCGTGTGACGTACATGTACTGCCTCCCCGTGTGACGTACATGTACTGCCTCCCCGTGTGACGTACACGTACTGCCTCATGTACTGTCTACCACAACAGACCGTAGTGACAGCCCCCGACAGATATGTGGATTCCCTTCAGTTAGATTCAAACGGACCGTGTCTGTGAATCCGTCCCAAACATTCCACCTTCATGTGGCGAACACAACAAAATTCGCTGAAACGTCCCCGGGAAGGACGTTAAAGTTCATGTTGCATGCATCTGTCAGTATAGTTCATGCCCCATGCATCTGTCAGTATAGTTCATGCCCCGTGCATCTGTCAGTATAGTTCATGCCCCATGCACCTGTCAGTATAGTTCATGCCCCGTGCATCTGTCAGTATAGTTCATGCCCCTTGCATCTGTCAGTATAGTTCATGCCCCATGCATCTGTCAGTATAGCTCATGCCCTGTGCATCTGTCAGTATAGTTCATGCCCCGTGCATCTGTCAGTATAGTTCATGCCCCGTGCATCTGTCAGTATAGTTCATGCCCCGTGCATCTGTCAGTATAGTTCATGCCCCATGCATCTGTCAGTATAGTTCATGCCCCATGCATCTGTCAGTATAGTTCATGCCCATGCATCTGTCAGTATAGTTCATGCCCCATGCATCTGTCAGTATAGTTCATGCCCCGTGCATCTGTCAGTATAGTTCATGCCCCGTGCATCTGTCAGTATAGTTCATGCCCCATGCATCTGTCAGTATAGTTCATGTTGCATGCATCTGTCAGTATAGTTCATGCCCCGTGCATCTGTCAGTATAGTTCATGCCCCATGCATCTGTCAGTATAGTTCATGCCCCATGCATCTGTCTGTATAGTTCATGCCCCATGCATCTGTCAGTATAGTTCATGCCCCGTGCATCTGTCAGTATAGTTCATGCCCCGTGCATCTGTCTGTATAGTTCATGCCCCGTGCATCTGTCTGTATAGTTTATGCCCCATGCATCTGTCAGTATAGTTCATGCCCCGTGCATCTGTCAGTATAGTTCATGCCCCATGCATCTGTCAGTATAGTTCATGCCCCATGCATCTGTCTGTATAGTTTATGCCCCATGCATCTGTCAGTATAGTTCATGCCCCGTGCATCTGTCTGTATAGTTTATGCCCCATGCATCTGTCAGTATAGTTCATGCCCCGTGCATCTGTCAGTATAGTTCATGCCCCATGCATCTGTCAGTATAGTTCATGCCCCGTGCATCTGTCTGTATAGTTTATGCCCCATGCATCTGTCAGTATAGTTCATGCCCCGTGCATCTGTCAGTATAGTTCATGCCCCGTGCATCTGTCAGTATAGTTCATGCCCCATGCACCTGTCAGTTTAGTTCATGCCCCGTGCATCTGTACTTGACACTATAAACACCAACCCATCCCGACCCCCACTTTCGTACCCAGTCCTTTAGTCAGCGTCAGCGTGCTTTCTTGAACTGTTGCACTTGGTCCCAGTACGGCAATAGACTGCCAGTAACGCGGTAAAGTTCCCACAATGGGGTGTCATGTTTCACTATACCCTGCATGGCATTCATAGATGTTTGCTAAGGAATGCGTCGTGAGTTGCCTCCTTCTTCTTCATACAGACCAACGGGTCTTATGTCGGTGTGCTCAGCAGACCGTGTCTGCCCGGGTGATGTGATCACCAGACCGTGGCTGCCCTGGTAATGTGCTCAGAAGACCGTGGCTGCCCGGGTCCTCGCTGGGACGTCGTTGTGAGGGAACAACGTTGTCCTAGTTTTCTATGCAATACTGAAAATTCAGGGACGCTTTAACCACTGGTATGCCTGGCTATTACAACGGAACAGCGGTTACAGGGACCTGCTCTTGGAGTGTACTGAAAAGTGGAAATCGCAATTGGATCGCACGTTGATCTCCATATTGTTGGAGGCGGGATACACAGGTCGTTTTCTCTTTACGATAACGTCTGGATACACCGAAACCTCGATAATACGGACAAGATTGTTGTCAGTTAATCGTATTGTCTATTTATATACCTATATATATGATAAAGTATCTACGATTTGTGTATATGAGACCGAGTATTGTCGATGTGTATATATGTATACATAACAACACAAAACAACACAAATGATGTTTACTGTTTTCTAATAGGTAATGACTTATTCTGTCTGGACCCGATGCCTTATTTATTTGAAGGTTTTTTATTACGTCAGATATTTCATTTTCCGTAACAGTTAATGTATCAAAAATACTCTTAAACATGCATTAGCTCCTACACTGAGTTATGCCCTGTGTCTTGCATTGTGTCTTGCATTGTGTCACGCATTGTGTCTTGTATTGTGTCATGCGTTGTGTCTTGCATTGTGTCACGCATTGTGTCTTGCATTGTGTCATGCGTTGTGTCATGGTCTACTTCCAACTAGGAGAGAACCATTAATATAACATTTCTCATGGAAATCGTGTCAGCTACAGGCCGAAGGTCTGCAGAGGCCAAATTGAGAGTGTCTGATAGTGCGGTGCGTATTCAATATTTACATCAGATATTTATTGAGGGAATTAAATATTTTGTTACAAACTGTTGTTTGTTGACTTATTGAGATGGTGGTCCTGCATGGAATAGGAATAATAAGTTTATTTCTGTCGTGCATGCCATCGGCCCATGCACACAGTTGATACAACAATATTATACTCTCTTCCAAAATATAAACGCAGTTAGTATGTAGTTCTTTGAACCTGATAACAGAAAATCCGATATATAAATTGGATATATGTTTGTTGACAATAAGTGGAATCATTTTTCGTTTTAATTTAAGCTGCTTCTGAGTAGCAATTTTATGTTTTTCGATAACTTTTGAGAATTAGTTTTACCTGCGGTCCAACACAGTTGGAAACATGAAGAAACTCTGGAGAAGGTAAAACATGTGTGACGTGCTATGAGACGCATGAAGCAAAACACAAACACAATTTCATGTATCCAAGTGATGGTGTAGCAGGCATACACTTTTGACACGAATGACTTTAATTATTTATGTTCTCTCACAGTGCCAAAACAAAGAGAGGTGTGATAAGCATGGTAAGCACCATCTTTGATCCTTGTGGGTATTTGGCTCCATACACGGTTCGCGCAAAGTGTCTCATACAAGACTTATTGAAGCTAGGTCTTGATTGGGATGATAACTTGCCACTAGAAATTCAGTCCAGCTGGTATGACTGGCTGGAAGAAATTGAAGACTTCATTCAACCTGTGCAGGCATCACGAGGGATTTTTGATCTCATTGAAGGTCATCTGTTCGCTTATGCCTCCGAGAAACGTTTTAGAGCAGGTGCATACATGCGCTACAAATCTTACAATGACCAGGATGAAGTGACTTGTTCATTCCTGGCTGCAAAGACCCGCGTGTCCCCCCTAAAGCCTGCATTAACAATTCCAAGGCTGGAACTGCAAGGTGCTTCATAAGCGGTTAGACTTTGGTTTTCTCTCCAAGAAGAATTGATGGTCCCTGTCCAGAGAATTCAGTTTTGGACTGATTCAAATACAGTGTTACAATATTTGAAAAAATCCCGACAAGCGATTCAAGCCTTTCGTCGCTAACAGGATAGCAGAAATCCACGATTATTCAAAACCTAAACAATGGCGCCATGTCCCATCAGATATCAATCCGGCTGATCACTGTACTCGCGGACTTCAAGCAAAACAGCACACAGAAACACATCCATGGCTGCGGGGTCCAGAGTTCTTATGGAAAAGTGAGGATACATGGCCAAAACTGTCAAACCCTGTTGATATGCTCAATGATGATCTTGAAGTGAAGAAGAGTGTGTTCAAGACCACTAGAAATGCATCATCTGAAATCAGTCTGAATCAAAGACATTTGACTGAACCACTAATCTCAGATTTGTTGAATCCGACTAATCTTCATGGCAAAGATTGAGTCGCATTTCAGCTTGGGTTCTCAGAGCTGCCAGAAACTTTCTGTCGAAACTCAGGCATCTTGACCTCAAACCTGTAACAGATGAAAGTCTGACAGTGAGTGAATGTGAGGAAGCGTTGCTCGCCTGGGTTCAAGAAGCACAAAAGGATGCATTTCAAGATGAGATTTATTGTGCTCAATCCCGAAACGAAATATCTCCAAAATCATCTCTGATAACACTATCACCATTCTATGATGGACGACATCTCAGAGTGGGAGGACGACTTCGAAAAGCTACTATTCCGAGAGAAGCAAAGTATCAACTCCTCCTTCCAGATTATTACCCAGTCACACAGCTACTGATGAATAAAACTCACAAGGAAAATGCTCACTGCGGTAATGAACACATTATAGCTACAGTAAGACAGCGATTCTGGCCTCTTCATGCAAGAAAGTTAGCAAAGCGTGCTGTCAGAAGTTGTCAAAAGTGTAGGAAGCGTTCCGTGAATCCAGTTGCACCCAAGATGGCAGACCTCCCATCATGTCGTGTAAGCCTTACAGATGGAGTATTCTCTCATACTGGAGTGGACTACTTCGGCCCGACTTTGGTAAAGTTCAAGTGAAGCACAATGAAAAGGTGGGGATGTTTGCTTACTTGTCTGTCTGTAAGGGCAGTACACATTGAGCTTGCTGATTCATTGGAAACAGATGATTTTCTTCTCGCTCGCAGAAACTTTATCGCGCGTTGTGGAAACCCTCAACATTTGTATAGCGATAACGGTACAAACTTTAATGGAGCACACAACGAACTCCGTCAGTGCCTTCATAATCTCAAACAAGCCAAAATCATCGACTTTCTGTGTGTGCGAGGTATTCAGTGGCACTTTAATAGTTCGCTTAGCCCGCACTTTGGTGGTGCATGGGAACGACTGGTGAGATCTGTAAAAACAGCCTTAACTTGTGTTTTGAAAGCAACCTGTGTTCATGAATCTGTGCTTCGCACATCTCTGATTGAAGTCGAAGCAATGCTGAACAGTCGACCTTTGACTTACAACAGTGCAAACCCAAACGACTTCACTGCCTTGACACCGAACTATTTTTTGCTCGGCAGATCTAACCCATTCCAACCAGTTGATGTGTTCCAGGACAAAGAGATGTGCAGCAGAAAAAAGATGGCGCCAAGCCCAACTCCTTGCAGATCATCTGAATCGCCGATGGATGAGAGATTTCTTACCTAACTTGACAGTAAGGCATCGCTTGAGAGTTGGTGGATGCAGAATATCGGTGGGTGATCTTGTTCTAATTGTTGATTACTCTAAACCCAGAGGTCAGTGGGAAATGGGAAGAGTAATTGACATTCTGCCTGGTGATGATAGTTAAGTGAGAACTGTGAGAGTGAAAACTCCCAAGGGTGAATACACAAGACCTGCTGTGAAAGTGTGTGTTCTTGAATCGACAGTGTAGATGTGATCTCCAATCATCTATCATTGAATTACCAGTTTATCAGATACATAGAATTTAACTCTTTCAGATGGGATGGAGTTGTGTTGACAATAAGTGGAATCATTTTTCGTTTTAATTTAAGCTGCTTCTGCATAGCAATTTATGTTTTTTCGATAACTTTTGAGAATTAACCCCCTTTAGTTTTACCTGCGATCCAACACAGTTGGAAACATGAAGAAACTCTGGAGAAGATAAAACACATGTGTGACGTGCTATGAGACGCATGAAGCAAAACACAAACACAATTCCATGTATCCAAGTGACGGTGTAGCAGGAATACACTTTTGACACGAATGACTTTAAATATTTATGTTCTCTCACGAACAATGTTCTTGGAAAATGTTGGTGGCCTGATATTCGACAAACGGTGCGTCAAAACGCAGCCATTGTCGATTTGGAAAGTCTCTTACGGCATTGTTTTCATATTCGTTCAAACATAGAGGAAAACGGTAAAGCAAAATGCACGTGCAAGTTATGGCATTCGTAACTCGTAGTAATGGCTATAAAAATGCAAGCATAAGCCAAAGAATTGTCAACATGTTCGAAAATGCCGAGACTTAACGAGACTACATCTGATATTACAACGCAACGGCAGTTTATGCAATCAAAACAAACATATGAATCTTCTTAATTCCCTTACATTGTGATTGTAACGTAATATTCAATACTCAGCAATGACTTAATATTCTTATAATGTGCAAGTCGTTTTGAATCACTGATAATACTAAAAATATTTTGTTTTTCACAATTTTCTAATCTCTGTCTGAACATCGACAGAAAATATGAAATATCCCCAATATCTTGACTAACCCATGCATATCCGAAACCATACGTGCATAACAACAATCTTACACAGGATGCGCATGTCTTCCTTTCTGCCGAATCTAACTTCTTAATAAGTAGGTAACATTGTCTTGGATAACGATCATCTGACATCTAACAATTTACACCAGTACTTTACTCATGTTTGGTAGTAATCTATATAAAGTCCATGTCTACCGCAGTCGGCTGAAGCTGCACTACTCGGTACATGTTTTCCAACACCCAATACAAAAATTATTATGAAATCTATCAATAACATCTCTTTCTTGGAAGCCCCGCCCCTCCGCCCCATATAACAAAATAAATCACGCAATCAAACAACTTATTTACAGGAATATTTTGGGTATTAATGCTGTAATTGCTTAATAACAAACAGAGCTTCACTGGCTTTTGAAACAAGAGTATTTGTACACACTGTCCATGACAACCTAGTAGAAACATAATACCTAAATAATTATAATAAATTTATGTCTTTAGTAGCTCTCCATCAAAATATCACTTCTCATAATGTCGTAATTTACCCCCATTTCGAAGAACTAATATTTCTCTCTTGTCCATATTTATCTGTAACACCCCCAACCCCACCCCCATCCCCCACACCCACCCCCACACCCCACACCCCCACCCCCATCCCGATCTACAATATTTACAATAAAATGTCAATCTTTCTTTGCAAACCAATCCACTCTCATCAAAAGTACATACATGTACATCACCAGCATACAATAATAACAGTAGTTCCAAATATTCTACACCTATAAATATACCTCTTACATCTGCATCTTCCATGATGGATTGAAATTCTGAAATAAATATTGCTAATACAAACGGGCTGATAACACAACCTTGTCCGACTCCACTTAAACTATCAAAATAATCAGTAATAGTAGCGGTGGGTACTCTTACAGCTGCCGTTATATTTGAATACATTTTTCTCAGTACAGCGAATTTTTTACCATTAACACCTTTATTCATTATTAAATACCACAGTAATCATATAAACAGAATCAAATGCTTTCTTAAAGTTTACATAAATACAGCAAAATGTCCGCCACTTTTAGATAAATACTTTTGTACAAGTCAAAGTGGAAATATTATCCGTTGTGCAATAGCCTTTCCATAATCCTGCCCGGGACTCAGGTATACTCTTAAAGTGATCAGAAAAAAACGTTTAAGACGCGCATTTAGAATAGAGGGAGTTTGAGGTCAGTTTGAGATCAGCGACTATGAAGCAAGCAATCACTCACTCACTCACTCACTCACTCACTCACTCACTCACTCTGGTTGTCTATGGAAGATCCACAAAATTTATGGATCAGTTTTTTGCCCAGAATGGAAGATAGTGATAACCCCCACACCATCCCAAAGTCGCATACATTGCGTCTTCTACATTGCCCAACACCTCAGAGATGAAATCACTGACTAAATCCTACACCACACTTGAAGGGTTCCGACCAAAATAGTTGTGCTTCCCAAAACCAGGGCAGACAAATCATGAGATGAGGCCAAACAGCTAACCTTTGAGTTAGCATATGCATGTACGCGTTACTCAATACGGGGCAATAATATTAGTTATGGTGTCTCTTGAGCCCAATATATTTCTGTTAACCTAATATGACACATATACGGCAACTTAAGACACACACCAAAAAATGATTATGTTGAAAGTTTATACTATCTGGTATCCATATCGCACATGTTATGTCAAAGTGAAAACTTGACACTTACAACTGTTGATGTTTAGGGTCAAAGGGAGAAATGAATCATTAAAACACAAAACAGTGTCGAATAACGAATTTCTGAACCAAAATTTCCATGTGAAATGTGTGAAGTGGTTGTTAAAAAAATCCAAAATGACTGTTACTCATATTAGGTCAGTAACAACCATCTTGGATTTATACTGACGATATACGGGCTCATATTGGGTCAGTAGTTCTGCTCTCTGATTGGTCAATCCCGCTTTAAGGTATAATCAAGGGCAATACATAGAGAATACTACCCTCATTCTCGTTAGATACCATATTTACCAAAAAATGTTTCGTAAAAATGGCATCTAACGAGAATGAGTGTGGTATTTTATTTATTACCCACGTTAAATATATATTAGTAAGTAAATACATAAGAACTTTCGTTCGTTGACAGAACAAACAGAAACCGGTTGCAAAATCTGGTTGCGCATGAATATTGATATATGCCCAGATATGGGCATTGTTGACATTTCTATGCATACGCATTAACAACATGCGCCTGCAGTTATGTTTGCAAACCATTTTGGAAGAGGGAAATCAGAGTGTTCGCCAAAGACATTCATGTTAACTGTACCACCCTATACTGAAGACGTGAAAATCAACAAACTCAAGTCTGCTTGCATGTCAGTGACAGCTTCGAACGATCGAAGGGCAAGGTCACCACTGGAATAAGAAGAGACAACCTTGATCTACTCGCAGCGTTTGACTTTAGAGATAGGGAATGTTATTGTTCACATTTGGGATGTTTGGGGCCACAAAATAAGAAGCCAGGCACACTTCCACGGAGTTTTCGAATGATTTGTATCAGAACTGTTCACTTTTAGTGATCTGGTCGTGCAGTCGTGTACGTTCATTCATGAACAACACCTCCCGAAACAGCGCCACAAAATACGCTTCGAAGGGGACACTGATGGCACAACCGGATCTTCCCAAGTAAGTCTAGATATATGTCCAGATAGTTTAAACAGACTTCATTTCACCAAACTTATCCTTTTACGTTTGATCAAATTGAAAGTTGCGAAAGTGGTCGGGTGCGTCACGCTCATGGGGACCCTCGCTCTATTGATCGGTAGTCGTACATTGTAAATGTATATAGCTCGCTTATATAATGTCCGTAGAAGCTCTATGCATAACTTATATATAATGCAAACCAAATTTGATGCGTGTGACTATTTTGTTTGGTTTAATAAAGTGTTTGTAAATATCTCTCGTTCTCATTAAGTTCTGCCTTGTAGTTGCAAAATGAATGACGTCTCGCGATGTTTTATAAATGCAAAAAGTAGTCCCGGTGTGACTGATCAGGTCACGGTTATCCAATCAAAACGAATAAAACAAGGTCAACCTTGTACGACACACGTGTGACGTGCGGATTTAGTATCTTACCACCTGTATCTTCAGCACGTGGGTAATAAAGGCCAATACAGAGGGCTATACAGTTCAAGTGAATATGGCGAGTGACGGTTAGGATTATGTTATCACTGACAACTGGCTATCCCGAAGATATACAATGTTGTGACAACGTTACCTCAGTCCGGTCACAACGTCCCCTGCCTGGAATGAACGCGGGCTATTACAGGTAAATGTGACATTTGTCCAATGCGTGGCTATCTAGGAACAGTGGCTTACGTTAGGTTGTGAGTATAGGTTAATGACTCGTCAGTGTTATTCCCAATTCAGGTCATTTCTAAATGCCGTTCTGCTGGAGAACCTGGTGTAGCTGCTACACAACGTAAAGTAACTATTCAAGTTTTTCAAAATATTTGGTAGAATGTACATTTTATGCAATGGCATTACTGTATAAGTTTAATACTATCAGCAACATTACAACATGACGCATATGCTTTGTCCCATTTAAGCTAGTTCTTTGTTTGGTTATTTGTTGTTTAACGCCGCACTCAGCAATATTCCAGCTATATGACGGTGTCTGTAAGTAATCGAGTCTGGGCCAGACAACGCAGTGATTGATATCATAAGCATCGATCCACGCAATTTGGATACGATGACATGCATCAACCAAGTCAGCCAGCCTGACCACCTGATCCCGTCAGTCGCCACTTATGACAAGCATAGGTTCTGAAGACCTATTCTACCCAAATGTAGCAGTATCTCCAACACTCGCGGTCACCGTGACCCAGTCACACCAGAACCAATGCAGCAGTATCTCCAACACTCGCGGTCACCGTGACCCGGTCACAACAAATCAAATACAGCAGTATCTCCAACACAACGGAGTTGGGCTTCGCACAATGTACCCATGTGGGGAATCTAACCCTAGCCCTCGACGTGATGATAGAACGCTTTAACCAGTGGGCTATCCCACGGCCCCTGTTTCCGAAGAAATACGTATGACATGTGTTTAGTGGTGACTGGGCGTCCGGCCAATAACTCATGCGCTGTTTTACCCGTGAAGATCCGGGTAGGCTTGGCCTTTAGCATGTTTGTGGTAAGAGGCGACTAACGGGATCAGATTCGCTGTCTTAGTTAATGCATGTCATCATAACAATTGCGTGGATCGATGCTCATGATGTCAATCACTGGATTGTCTGGTCCAGACTCGATTATTTACAGACGGCCGTAAAATAGCTCGAATATTGCTGAATGCGGCAAGTACAAGAAACAAACAAACAAACAAACAATCCTAAGCTGTGCAATAAGAAGCGATACTTCTCCGTTGTATTCATGACTCAATAGTAGAAATATCAGCTTCTTCTCGTTGCTATATGGATGAAATAATGCCGATGCGACGTCAAATTTTAACTCACTCACTCACCATACACCCTAAACAAATGTACGATCTGTTATTTTAAACTCAAAGCAGCGTTAAACCCAACTCTCGTATGTTATACCCACACATTGCAAGTCCGATGTTTCAGTTTCAGTAGGTTGTGTTTCAAGAGTAAAACCCTCAACTCCTCCTGTTTCACTGAAGGGGGATCTGCGCGAATGTCAAGCTTGTCGTGTGTATACATCAAACTAGTCAGGTGCCATCTACTGTCAGAGTGAGTGAGTGAGTATGGTTTAACGCCGCTTTTAGCAATATTCCAGCAATATCACGGCGGGGGACACCAGAAATGGGCTTCACACATTGTACCCATGTCGGGAATCGAACCCGGGTCTTCAGCGTGACGAGCGAACGCTTTAACCACTAGGCTACCCGACCGCCCCTACTGTCAGAGTGTTTTAACCAAGTCACTTCACCTTCACTTTCCATGTGGCTGTGATCAACCTATGTGTAATGTCGTCCACAAGGAATGGACTGCTCCATTGTTTATAATAGTAATAATAATAATAATAATAATAATAATAATAATGATGTGTAGATGCGACTTGATGTCGATGCTGTGCATCCCTGTTTCCTTGTTAATCACGTCCTGAGCTTGTGACATGACACGGGTGCGTCCATTATACAGTGTCGCCTCAAAGTGAACAGAATTTTATTATTTTTGCGATACAGTCATGCTTGGACATAGGATATTAACGCCCCTCAAACATTTACGCAGAACGGTATTGTTGGAGTCGGAAAACCAACATTGCACGTGGGATGATCAGAGACAGTGAAAGTCCGTGCACGTGCTAGGTATGACCAGACGGGTCCATTTCTAGCCGAGGTTGGGTAGGGTACCCCAGTCAAGACTGTTGACGCAATATATTCGTTTTTGTTTTCATTTTAATCATTAAAATATAATGTTACGGAAATATCAAAAGTTCATCACTTAATATGAATATGATCTTGAAGGTTTTACAACGCTGGGGTGTGTGAGACACTGAGTGTCCCACCCTCAGACAGACATTTGTGACGCCATCCCGACTGTTGAGCCACTGCTGACTGGCTCAACGAGTTACACAGCATGGGCAGTGGGAGACAGTCACGGATGACGACAAACCACGGAAGTCAGAAGTATCTCTCAACCAGAAGTAAGTGATATACCTGATAGATAGGATTGAGTGGGAACCGGGGAGGAGGGAGGTGTGGGGGGAGGAGAGAGGTGTGGGGGGAGGAGAGAGGTGTGGGGGGAGGAGAGAGGTGTGGGGGGAGGAGGGAGGAGTTGGGCATACGCGGCCAAGGAATGGGGTGTTGAAGATATGGAGACCAAAAAGGGGAAATGTGAGCGAGACAGAGGGGCAGCTATAAGATGGGATACACTTTGCGATTTATCCCAGGGGTATGTGGCAAAATGTTTTATTCTAAGGTGTAGGTAGTAAAATATACACTGAAGAGGGAAGGGATAAAGCGATTTATATTGGGGATGGTAGAGAGATATGTACTGAAGAGTGGGTAGGGGAAATACTTTTTTTTGGGGGGGTGGGGGGTGGGGGGTAAAGATTCATAAAGAAGGGGATTGGGAAAAGAGGGATTAATACTGAAGACGAGGTGTGGAGTAGAGCGTTTTATAGAGGAAGAGATTGTAGTAGAGAGATTTATACTGGGATAGGGGTAGAGATTTATACTGAAGGGATGGGAGTATAGAGATTTATACTGGGATGGGAGTAGAGATTTATACTGGAATGGGGGTAGAGATTTATACTGAAGGGATGGGAGTAGAGAGATTTATACTGGGATGGGGGTAGAGAGATTTATACTGTGATGTGGGTAGAGAGATTTATACTGGGATGGGGGTAGAGAGATTTACACTGGGATGGGAGTAGAGATTTATACTGAAGGGATGGGGGTAGAGAGATTTATACTGGGATGGGGGTAGAGAGATTTATACTGGGATGGGGGTAGAGAGATTTACACTGGGATGGGAGTAGAGATTTATACTGAAGGGATGGGAGTAGAGAGATTTATACTGGGATGGGGGTAGAGAGATTTATACTGAAGGGATGGGAGTATAGAGATTTATACTGGGATGGGAGTAGAGATTTATACTGGGATTGGGGTAGAGATTTATACTGAAGGGATGGGAGTAGAGAGATTTATACTGTGATGGGGGTAGAGAGATTTATACTGGGATGGGGGTAGAGAGATTTATACTGGGATGGGGGTAGAGAGATTTACACTGGGATGGGAGTAGAGATTTATACTGAAGGGATGGGAGAAGAGAGATTTATACTGGGATGGGGGTAGAGAGATTTATACTGGAATGGGGGTAGAGATTTATACTAAAGGGATGGGAGTAGAGAGATTTATACTGGGATGGGGGTAGAGATTTATACTGAAGGGATGGGAGTAGAGAGATTGATACTGGGATGGGGGTAGAAAGATTTATACTCGAATGGGAGTAGAGATTTATACTGGAATGGGGGTAGAGATTTATACTGAAGGGATGGGAGTAGAGAGATTTATACTGGAATGGGGGTAGAGAGATTTATACTGGGATGGGAGTAGAGAGATTTATACTGGAATGGGAGTAGAGAGATTTATACTGGGATGGGGTAGAGAGATTTATACTGAAGAGATGGAGTAGAGAGATTTATACAAGAATGGGGTAGAGAGATTCATACTGAAGGGATGGAGTAGAGAGATTTATACTTGGGTGTGGGTGGGGTAGAAAAATTGATACTGGGATGTGGGTGGGTCGGGGTGGGCTTTGGGTAGAAAGATTTATACTGAAGGGTAGTGGATGTAGAGATAGTTTTATACTGAAGGGTGGGTGGTCGTAGAAAGATGTATACTTAAGAAGGGTGGAGCAAAGAGATTTGAACGGAAAAGGGATGGGGATAGAGAGATGTATACTGAAGACTAGGCGTGGGGGTATTTTATTCTGAGGGGGCGCAGTGGTAGATAGATGTATACTGGAGAGGGATGGGGTTGAGATGTTTATACTGAAGGGGTGTGGTAAAGACATTTGTACTGTGGGGTGGTGGAGGGGTAGGGTAGAGAGATTGATACTGAAGGGGAAGGAGTAGAGAGATTGATACTGAAGGGGCAGGAGTAGAGAGATTGATACTGAAGGGGTAGGAGTAGAAAGATTTATACTGAAGGGGGTAGGAGTAGATAGATTTATACTGAAGGGGGTAGGAGTAGATAGATATATACTGAAGGGGGAAGGAGGAGAGATTTATACTGAAGGGGTAGGAGTAGATAGATTTACACTGAAAGGGCGGGAGTAGAGGGATTTTTACTGAAGGGGGGAGGGAGGAGAGATTTATACTGAAGGGTAGTGGATGTAGAGATATTTATACTGAAGGGGTAGGAGGAGAGATTTATATTGAAATTGTAGTAGTAGAGAGATTTATACTGAAGGGGTAGGAGTAGAGAGATTTATACTGAAGGGGGTAGGAGGAGAGATTTACACTGAAGGGTAGTGGATGTAGATATATTTATACTGAAGGGGTAGGAGGAGAGATTTATATTGAAATTGTAGGAGTAGAGAGATTTATGCTGAAGGGGGTAGGAGTAGACAGATTCATACTGAAGGGATGGAGTAGAGAGATTTATACTTGGGTGTGGGTGGGGTAGAAACATTGATACTGGGATGTGGGTGGGGTGGGGACGGCTTGGGGTAGAAAGATTTATACTGAAGGGTAGTGGATGTAGAGATATTTATACTGAAGAGGGATGTGGGTAAACAGATTTATACTGAAGGGGGGTAGGCATAGAGAGTTTTATACTGAAGGGTGGGTGGTCGTAGAAAGATGTATACTTAAGAAGGGTGGAGCAAAGAGATTTGTACGGAAAAGGGATGGTGATAGAGAGATGTATACTGAAGACTAGGCGTGGGGGTATTTTATTCTGAGGGGGCGCAGTGGTAGATAGATGTATACTGGAGAGGGATGGGGTTGAGATGTTTATACTGAAGGGGTGTGGTAAAGACATTTGCACTGTGGGGTGGTGGAGGGGTAGGGTAGAGAGATTGATACTGAAGGGGGTAGGAGTAGAGATTTATGCCCGGAGGGGTAGGAGAAGAGATATTTATACTGAAGGGGGTAGGAGTAGAGAGATTCATACTGAAGGGGGTAGGAGTAGATAGATTTATGCTGAAGGGGGTAGGAGTAGATAGATTTATACTGAAGGGGGTAGGAGTAGACAGATTTATACTGAAGGGGGTAGGAGTAGACAGATTTATACTGAAGGGTGTAGGAGTAGATAGATATATACTTAAGGGGGTAGGAGGAGAGATTTATACTGAAGGGAGTAGGAGGAGAGATTTATACTGAAGGGTAGTGGATGTAGAGATATTTATACTGAAGAGGGATGTGGGTAAACAGATTTATACTGAAGGGGGTAGGGTAGAGAGGTTTATACTGAAGGGGTAGGACTAGAGAGATTTATACTGAAGGGGGGAGGAGTAGAGAGATTTATACTGAAGGGGGTAGGAGTAGAGAGATTTATACTGAAGGGGGGAGGAGTAGAGAGATTTATACTGAAGGGGGTAGGAGTAGAGAGATTTATACTGAAGGGGGTAGGAGTAGAAAGATTTATACTTAAAGGGGTGGGGATGGGGGGATTTAAACTGAAGGGGGAAGAGTTAGGTGGGGTTAGAGTGAATTATTCTGAAGGGGGTGAAGTAGAGAGAATTATTCTGAAGGGGGTGAGGTAGAGTGAATTATTCTGAAGGGGGTGAGGTAGACTGAATTATAAAGTAGAGTAGGGGTGGGGGTAGATAGATTTATACTAAAGGGGGTGGAACCAGATACATTTATCCTGAATGGGGGTAGAGACCTTTATACTGGGGTATGTTGTAGAGGGATTAAAACTGTAATCTATGGTTGGGTAAAACTATTTTGACTAAAGGGGATGAGAGAAGAGACATTTTTACTGAAGTGGGGTGGGGTGGGGTGGGGAAGAGACACCTATACTGAAGTGGGGTGGGGTTGGGTAGAGACATTTATACTGAAGTGGGGTGGGCAGGGGTAGAGACACCTATACTGAAGTGGGGTGGGGGGTGGGGTGGGGAAGAGACACCTAAACTGAAGTTGGGTGGGGTGGGGTGGGGTGGGGTAGAGACATTTGAACAGCCATACTTTTTCGGACGTGGATTCTCTTTCTAACCGAACTTGGGGGCACCAGTGGCCCGGTCATCTGAGGTGCCGCAATTCGCTGTGCAGAGTTGCGTTCCTTTCTAACGCCAGAAATATATTGTTGTGGGTTCGAATCCCGATTCGCCCCGATAATGTTTCTAGGGTTGTCATGCGTGCTCGTAGGTTTCACCGAAGTGGTCAACGTCTCAGGCTGCATGATGTCCTCACAATGGCTATATTGATAAATGTAATGTAAGGCCAAAGACCCCCTGAATATCCTGGAGTCAGGTTGTATTACATATGGGCGGTAGGGTAGCCTAGTGGTTACAGCGTTCGTTCGGGTTCAATTCCCCATTTGTGTGAAGCTCATTCCTGGTGTCCCCACATGGAATATTGCTAAAAGCGGCGTAAAACCATTCTCACTCTAGATACAAATATACACAGTTGCCATGGTTGCCATGTTTTTTGTACAAACTAATTTTGATTTTAGTCTGAACTTTGAACACTTCACAGACTAGCTTATGTATTTTTACATATAGTGATATCTTTTTATGGTTGTATGGTAATTTAAAAGACTAATCTGTGATATTCTAGTTATTTTTCTGTCCATCGGCGACAGGTCTTTATTTAATCTAAACATATGTATTCTTAATGTATAACTTCTCGTCACGATATGGCTGATATTTCCGATGTAACGTTAAATATTAACTCACTCACAGAATGGCAGGGTACACAGGCAATCAAGATGTAACACGAACATGTATCTGTAGCATTTCCACCTCTGTTTCAGATGTCCTGTCACTGATTGTGTTGTGTGCTTTCACGGTCCTCGTGACGTACCAGTGGCGTCATGAGGCACAGTTCTACCACAAGTTCATCAACGTCTCACTGTCGTCCTTGACCTTCGCCCCACCCCGCCCTGCCACGTTAAGCAGGAATCAGAACGCAACGGCCAGTACCGTCGTGACAACCCGTACCAACCTAGCGACCTTTCCCCCTGGAAACAACGCTACAACCACGTCTCCCCCACCAGTGTTCACCACATCACAAACAGTGTCCAGTGTGTGTAGAAACCCCTTCAGGGAGGAGTATCTGAGGAAACAGGACTACTTGTGCTCCAGGCCACTAGGAAGATTTGGCAATATGATGTTTATCTATGCGTCTTCCTATGGAATAGCGACCTACAATAACAGAACGCTGATTATGAGCAAGGCGTTGATGTTGACTGACTATTTCAATCTTAATGTCCTATTAGTGGATGATTTTGAATGTGTAGTCACGGGAACGAAGGGAGTAGGTCCAAGGCAGGCTTGTGCGTTCGACGAGAGTCTCATGCATATAGCCATAGGAGAGAACGTTTGCCTGGGGAGCTATTTACAATCATACAAGTACTTCGAGCATGTTCAGGAAGCAATCAAGAAACAATTTACATTCAAGAAGGAAACCAGAGACAAAGCGATGAGCATTATAAATGGTGCTATAAACACATTCCATGAACGTAATACGACAGTGAAGGACACCCGCCCCGTGTTGGTCGGCGTCCATGTGAGACGGGGCGATATGGTTAAGAGCAAATTTGGTTATGCAGTTGCAACGCCAGAATATTTAGGAAATGCCACTCAATATTACCGGGACAAGTTCCCCAATAGGTTGTTTATTGTGTGTTCTAATGGAATGACATGGACAAAGCAACACGTTGTTGGTGATGACGTCTTCTACGTGGAGGGGAACACGTTTGAAGTTGACATGGCGGTGTTGGTGAGCTGTAACCACAGTCTGACCACTGTGGGATCCTTCAGTTGGTGGGCGGGGTTCCTGGCAGGGGGACAGGTTGTGTACTATCAGTGGCCAGTCATGGAGAAGTCAGGACTTCGGAGACACTTCTCAGCCAATTACACAGACTACTTCCCCCCTTCCTGGATCGGGATGTAGTGACCACACGGTGCCGTGTATTCACATCGCTTCTGTATTGCCTCATTGAAGGGACTCACATGTTATAGATAATTTTTATTAAATATAGTTTTATTCACTATTCCCAGGTAGGTACTGATGGCCCAGTCGTCTAAGGCGCCGCGATTCACTGTACAGAGTTGCATCCCTTGGGCACGCCAGACGCCTATGATTGTGGGTTCGAATCCCGGTTAGCCCCGATTATGTTTCTAGGTTTGTCAGCACCATACCCGTGCTCTTGGGCTTCACCGAAGAGGTAATGTCTCAGACCTGCATCACTTCGGGCTTTCCTCCCACATTAAGCTGACACGCTGTGGTATAACTGGAATACTGTTAAAAGCGGCGATAAACCCAACCCAACTCACTCACGCACTCGCTATTCCCAGAGTGCTTCGTGCTGATTGGGTGAGGATGGGTCTTGGTTCATTATTGTAAATCTGGGCTGTCATGTGCCACTGTTGGTGCTGCTGTAGCATGCCCGTGTGTGGTGTAACTCCATCAGTGTTACGACGGGTGGCATTGAGGGTGCAGCTCGTGTTCGAGTACCCACAAGGGTACAAGTGTAAAGCACATATCGGATTATTGCTGCGAAAGGTGACGTGTACATTTAGTCGGGCTTTTAGCTCTTTTACATAATAATTTGATTTAAATCTAACTTATACCATACAGAAAAGGGCTCCCGGGCTACAATCGTTATAAGACACTCAGTAATAAGTTCACTATTATTTACTTTACATTTGCTGTCATCTGGCTTTTCAAGGTGCTTTTCAGTGTAAAAAAGGCATTATCACTTCATACCAGAGCCATTTTGTGTCAGTTGTAGCTTAATTGGGCTATTTTTGGATGTAATGCCTTTGTGTGACGATGCATAAATTCTGAGATATTTAGCAAAACAAAAGCTCTTTTGTTTACACCTGATTTCGGATCGCCGCACAAACAATGAATAAAATCCAGTAAATCACAACTGTGTGATAAGTTCAATGAAACAGCTGACAGAAATAATGGTCAACAGAAATTGATCGACCTTCCTTGATAGTGTCAAAGGCAGGAATGACACCCAACACGGGTCTACAGGCGTAAACGTTCTTGCTTAGTATGTTTGACGTCAACACTTAGCTTTGTTCTAATACTTGGTATCAACATTTATAGTTCATGATCTCCTACTTATTATAAGAGTACGAGGGGTGTTCATTAAATATTTCCCCTGACCCACTTCCGATGGACCTAGTGGAATGAAACTTGGCACAGGTATTAGTCTTTCTCTCCACATAGGAACCGCCAAGAGTTACACACTTCTCCCATCGTTTTATGCAACTATGGAGACCTCGCTTGTAAAAGCCCTCATTTTGCATCTCAAACCAGGACTTGACTTCAGAAATCAGTGTTTCATCATCTGTGAAACATTTCCCTTCAAAAATGACTTCATGGTTGGAAAGAGGTGGAAGTCAGATGGTGCAAGGTCAGGAGAGTAAGGAGGGTGTGGAAGGATTTCATAGCCACAGGACCGCGCTTCTGTCTGGGCAACATGAGAGTTGTGTACTGGAGCATTGTCTTGCAGGAGACGGACACCCTTGGTCAGCATGCCACGCCTCTTAAGCTTGATAGCGTCCCGCAATTTCAACAGCAGTGAAGCATAATAAGCTCCTGTAATTGTGGTACCCTTTGCCACGAAATCCATCATCACTACTCCGTGCTGGTCCCAAAACACTGTGAGCATGACCTTGCCTGCAGAGGGTTAGACACGTGCCTTCTTTGGGGGTGGTGACTCCACATGCTTCCATTGCATCGACTGAACTTTAGTCTCAGGATCATAGTGATGGACCCATGTTTCATCCTGTGTGATAAGTCTGTCAAAAAAGTTTGCCTGTATTTTTTGGCACATTCTGCCAAAATGGCGGTCTCCACTTGATGGATAGTGTCCTCATCAATGGCTGAATGGGGGCGACCAGGAATGGCAGCTGTTTCCACAGATGTCCGACTACACTTGAACTGGCGATGCCAGTGTTTAACAACGTCATATGATGGGGCATCTTCCCCATAAGTTGCTTTCATTTCATCGAAAGTTTCTTTTGCTGTGCGACCTTTCAAATATAAAAGAACTAATCACTGCTCGGTATTCTACCGGCTCCATTGTCACACCCTACTCGATCATAACACCTGTAAAAGTGGTAAGATTAATAGTTCGGTGCTGCAAATTCAGACATAACCCATAGATACATGTATCATTACACATGTGAAATTTCAACCAAATATGATAACCCTAAGTGCTCACTCCAGGTCTCACTCCATCCCCAGGTCTCACTCCATGCCCAGGTCTCACTCCATGCCCAGGTCTCACTCCATCCCCAGGTCTCACTCCATGCCCTGGTCTCACTCCATCCCCAGGTCTCACTCCATGCCCAGGTCTCATTCCATGCCCAGGTCTCACTCCATCCCCAGGTCTCACTCCATGCCCAGGTCTCATTCCATCCCCAGGTCTCACTCCATCCCCAGGTCTCACTCCATCCCCAGGTCTCACTCCATCCCCAGGTCTCACTCCATGCCCTGGTCTCACTCCATGCCCTGGTCTCACTCCATCCCCAGGTCTCACTCCATGCCCTGGTCTCACTCCATGCCCAGGTCTCACTCCATGCCCTGGTCTCACTCCATCCCCAGGTCTCACTCCATCCCCAGGTCTCACTCCATGCCCAGGTCTCACTCCATGCCCAGGTCTCACTCCATGCCCAGGTCTCACTCCATGCCCAGGTCTCACTCCATCCCCAGGTCTCACTCCATCCCCAGGTCTCACTCCATGCCCTGGTCTCACTCCATCCCCATGTCTCACTCCATCCCCAGCCAGGGTACTTGTCCCACAGTCCAGAAATTACACTTTTTGATTTGCCCAACATTCGGGAAACTTCGGATATTGCCACCCACCCTTTGAGCCCTTAACTGTTCGGATTGATCATTAATGATTTAGTACTGAGGATGAATTTGGAAAGGGAATTCAGTTTCATGTAAAACTTATACAATTCTCTCCTTTTATTTGTGTAATGTGAGACACTGTGCATAGTTTGCAGACTGTTTTTATCTTCTTCAACAATATTGTAAGTTACAATCGTTTATTATATAGATAAAACGAAAGTAGTTGTGTTTAAATCTGGTGTTGTTCCCTCAAGACACGAAAAGTGGTATCCTAAAGGTGTAAAATGTCTTAAATTTTATAAATTATTACCGTTTTTGTTTTCCCAAATATTGACTTGCAGTAAACATTCTGATAATGCCTTTCTTCAAGCTGAGCGTGCGCTACTGAGTACATTAGCTTCTCTCTCACACGTTAAGATTAACCTGTAAGGTTATGCTGTAGCATGTGTAGCTCTCGAGTGTATGTTAAATCATCAACCTAAAGCCATGCAGAGTGTGGGAGACTCCAGTACCTTCTTCACCTCAGTAAAGTCTTCTAAACGTTTTAGGTGGACGTGTGGAGGACATTTCGAATTTTCACGCATCAGTGACAGAAATGATATCCGATTCAATTCCCTTTTTTGAATTGTATCATATAGTCCGGTGTTTTTTCAGGTGAACAATTCACTCGCCTTTGCATGTGTTTGTGACGGGTGCCACCGGTGTGGAGGATACGCTCATCTTTTCGCGAACACCTGGTGTCATCACTTTTTGATAGTGCTCCATAGCAGAGATTTCTATTAAATATGGAAAGGGTTTTGTCGTTTTTATTAACCTTACAGTATGTAAGCCTTGTATTAAGTTTTGGTGCAAAGAAATCAGTATGCACAACTCTCGTACCCGTGAAGATTACGGGGTAGAATAGGTCTTCAGCAACCCAGGTGACTATACTTGTCGTAAGAGGCGACTAACGGGATCGGGTGGTCAGGCTTGTTGACTTGTTAATGCATGTCATCGATCCCAATTGCGTGGATCGATGCTCATGATATTTATCACTGGATTGTCTGGTCCAGACTCGATTATTTACAGACCGCTGTCATATAGCTGGAATGTTGCTGCGTGTGGCGTTAAACAACAAACAAACAAATCCTATTATTGTGGCTTTGGTTCTGTGTGGGAGAAGCAGGACGTAGATGAGTATATCCTTTATTCCAGAATTCATGCTCCGGTTCAAATGTAACTACGAACAAAATTGACATCTTTCGTTAACAAATACTCGTGGTCCACAGTTACACCCTTTAAGAACATCTCATAATGAATTCCATCTTACAGCAATATCAGTAAATAAGTTTCAGGTTCCACAAGCAGTTTTGTTGTAGTTTCATGTGAGTGAGTGAACATTGTTTACACCGCTTTTTGCACTATTCCAGCAATAGGCTTCACGCTAGGGGCTCTCTGTTGATCGGGTACGTATTTACATATACCTTGGAAAGAACAACATTGTACTGTATGTGTTATGAGGGTTGTATCGAGAACGAATACCACTTTGTGTTTTGGAAGCGTATGCAGATCATCGTCGACGATCTAACCCTAATAAATATATTATGTTACCCGCTCATGTCTTCTAAACAAGAGTCTGTTGACACATTTAGCATGCCTCATTCTCCTTAATGCTACCTCAGCAACTGCTTCTTTTACAACTACAACTGCAATCGCCAACTCTTTGTTGTTATCTCACGTGTTTCATACGTGTTATCATGGTATACTACATATTGTTTCCAAGAGCCGTTTCCCCACTCAAGTTCCTTACCTAAGAATTGAATTAAGTGAAACTTATGAATTTGATGTGTCGCTTCTCATGTGTTATTCGCGTCGTGTTTGAACCAAAGGAAAACTGCACTAGTCATGTTTCGCACTGATTTCTTTATTCCGAATTCACTTTCCAAATGTCTGCCATAACATACATATCAATCAAAAACAACTATGGACATGCCTTCAGAAATCCTCAATTTCATCTAACTATTCCATCCCAATCCACTGAGGCATGAAAAAATCAGAGTAGTCTTTCGAGAAAGCGGTTCTGAGAGAACTTCCGTTTCGGGCCGGATGTCGGTAATATATGGTGGTTCCTCCTGCCAAGTATGCGGCCCACCAACCAAACGTCCCGACTGACATGATGGTGTGAGTACACTGTGTCATCAACGCCATATCTGTCGTAGCATTGTGACCTTCCATGTAGATGACGTCACTTCCGTTCAAGTGACTCTTCGTCCATGGGAAATTGTCCGAGAAAAGAAAAAACACGGGATTCGATACTTTCTTACGGAAGTAGTCAAACGCCTTATAGAAGTAGTTTTCCGTTGGGACTCTGTATCCATGATTGATGAATCGAGGAACTTTTGTGATGTCCCCTCTTCGGATGTGAACAGCTATAACAGTCGCTGACTCCCACCCTCCTGCGGATAGTGTCTTCTGGATTATCTCCCTTGCGGCCTTCCTATAGGAGTCACTGAAGGTGAACTGCCGCCGGATGTCGGCCTCCACGTGCCGGAAGTACATCCAAGACTGTAAATATGTGTTTACACCGAAGTTGACCCCTTGGGTTAAAGATTTGTTGAAGAAACTTTCATCAAACCGGCAGCTCCATCTCGGCCCAGCGTTCCTAGCCCCATCACATACGCAGAAATTGTCGACCAATTCAGCTTTCAGGCTGAATACTCTATTTAAGGAACGCGATTTTTCTGTGACAACTATTCTGTTGTTGCGTTTTGCAATGGCATAGGCAGATGCGTAGGAGAACATCTGGTTCCCCAGCCCGCCGAACACTCTGTTGCACAGGTAGATTTTACCTCTTTTAAATTCGCTGAGAAAGGGGTCCTTACAGGTCGAGACGAGTTGGGACCTCGTGGGTATTGATGCAGCAGGGATGGTGTGGATGTTGTTGTTGGCGTTGGTGGTACTCAAGTCAACTGCGATGACGTTGACGATGGCGTTGACGATGGCGGTCCTTTCAGGATCAAAGATCTCCTTCTGCTGACTCTGGGAATATAGCAAGGTCTCACTGGACAGCAGGACATAGATGCAGACAGTCGTCAGAGGCAGCAGGACGAAGAGAAATACATCTGTGTCATAAAACAAAATATATGTCACGGAGATCAGCATTGATGATAGTCAATATACAGATATGTATGTGACACAGATAGGCAGACATGGATGTGTCACACAGGCAGGCAGGCAGGCAGGCAGGCACATATGGATATCTCCCACAAACGGTAGTCTTGCTGTCAAATCCTTCGCTCATCACAACGAGGTCCCGGGTTCGATTTCCCACATGGGTACAATATGTGCAGCCAATTTCAGCTGCCAGCTGTCGTGATATAGCTGGAATATGACTTCGAGTCACGCACTCTTTCTCAAGATGTACATTCGCTGTCAGTGTTGCACACAGGCGGGCAGACATCGGATGTCAAACACTCAGGACCAAACTCGGGATCCAGCGGGTTAAACTAACTAGGCTACCCCACCGCTCAAAAGCAGTCTTCATATTGACAGAAGAGTGTTTAATGCAGTGTCAAAGAATACCCGGACAGAACCTCTAGCTGGTAAACCAACAATACCTGACTTAAAGTACGATTTCTGGTCCTACCTCGATGTACCTGTGTGTCCACCGATGTACCTGTGTGTCCGCCAATATACCTGTGTGTCTGCCGATGTACCCGTGTGTCTGAAGATGAACGTGAGTGTCCACCAATGTACCTGTGTGTCCACCAATGTACCTTTGTGTCTGCCGATGTACCTGTGTGTCCACCAATGTACCTGTGTGTCCACCGATGTACATGTGTGTCTGCCGATGTACCTGTGTCTACCGATGTACCTGTGTGTCCACCAATGTACCTGTGTGTCTGCCGATGTACCTGTTTGTCAACCAATGTTACCTTGTGTCTGCCGATGTACCTGTTTATTCACCGATGTACCTGTGTGTCCACCAATGTACCTGTGTTTCCACCGATGTATCTGTGTCTGCCGATGTACCTGTGTGTCTGCCGATGTACCTGTGTGTCCACCGATGCACCTGTGTGTCCACGAATGTACCTGTGTGTCTGAAGATGTACCTGATTGTCTGCCGATGTACCTGTGTGTCTGCCGATGTACCTGTGTGTCTCCCGACGAACCTGTGTGTCCACCAATATACCTGTGTGTCTGAAGATGTACCTGAGTGTCTGCCGATGTACCTGAGTGTCTGCCGATGTACCTGTGTGTCTACCGATGTACCTGTGTGTCCACCGATGTACCTGTGTGTCTACCGATGTACCTGTGTGTCCACCGATGTACCTGTGTGTACACCGATGTACCTGTGTGTCCACCAATGTACCTGTACGTCCACCGATGTACATGTGTGTCTGCCGATGTACATGTGTGTCCGCTGATGTACCTGTGTGTCCGCCAACGTACCTGTGTGTCTGCCGATGCACCTGTGTGTCCACCAATGTACCTGTGTGTCTGAAGATGTAGCTGTGTCCACCAATGTACCTGAGTGTCTGAAGATGTACCTGATTGTCTGCCGATGTACCTGTGTCTGCCAATGTACCTGTGTCAACCGATGTACCTGTGTCCACCGATGTACCTGTGTGTCAGAAGATGTACCTGAGTTTCTGAAGATGTACCTGTGTGTCCACCAATGTACCTGTGTGTCTGCCGATGTACCTGTATATCCACCGATGTACCTGTGTCTGAAGATGTACGTGTGTGTCCACCGATGTACCTGTGTGTCTGTCGATGTACCTATGTGTCTGCCAATGTACCTGTGTATCCTCCGATGTGCCTGTGTCTGATGATGTACCTGTGTATCCATCGATGTAGCTGAGTGTCTGCCGATGTACCTGTGTGTCCACCAATGTACCTGTGTGTCCACCAATGTACCTGATTGTCTGCCGATGTACCTGTGTGTCTGCCGATGTACCTGTGTGTCCACCGATGCACCTGTGTGTCCACCAATGTACCTGTGTGTCCACCAATGTACCTGATTGTCTGCCGATGTACCTGTGTGTCTGCCGATGTACCTGTGTGTCCACCGATGCACCTGTGTGTCCACCAATGTACCTGTGTGTCCACCAATGTACCTGTGTGTCCACCAATGTACCCGTGTGTCTGCCGATGTACCTGTGTGTCTGCCGATGTACCTGTGTGTCTGCCGATGTACCTGTGTGTCTGCTGATGCACCTGTGTGTCCACCAATGTACCTGTGTGTCTGAAGATGTACCTGAGTGTCCACCGATGTACCTGTGTGTCTGCCGATGTACCTGTGTGTCTGCCGATGTACCCGTGTCTGCCGATGTACCTGTGTGTCTGCCGATGTACCTGTGTGTCTGCCGATGTACCCGTGTGTCTGCCGATGTACCCGTGTGTCTGCCGATGTACCTGTGTCTGCCGATGTACCCGTGTGTCTGCCGATGTACCTGTGTGTCTGCCGATGTACCTGTGTGTCTGCCGATGTATCCGTGTGTCTGCTGATGTATCCGTGTGTCTGCCGATGTACCTGTGTGTCTGCCGATGTATCCGTGTGTCTGCCGATGTACCGAGATATGTTCACTATGAAAGGAGGATCAATGTCGTGGTGACGTCTATCATACTCACTCAAAGTTGGCTTGTGTTTCAGGCACCACGTCCACCCCATGATGCCCCGCGGAGTGTCGTCGTTGTATCACACCGCATGAACCCACGTCACACTGAGAAATGGGGATGTTTGAGCTCAAGTGAAGTTGTGAACGTAATATTTTACTTTGTGCTTAATGCCGACCCCCTTGAGGATATTTCTTCCCTCAGCCCCTCCCCCGTCCCTCAGCCCCTACCCCCTGCGGTCTCCTCCAACCTGCTGCCTCCTACACACAGGACAGTATGTAGTACTGATCGATACATCTGCATAGGTGTGCTATTATACTGAGCCAATCACAAGCCGAGATGATAATTAAAATATTGCATTGTTGACTTCAATGTGAGGTGGCGCTGCTGGGGTTACAGGGAGGATGGAGACACGACCTGTGCTTCGTGCTCCGTGAACCCCTAACCCTGCAGCTTGTGGTATGCTGAATTGACAAATCAATGATATTCTTCTAGGTTTCAGTCTTATAGATTTGCCTACTTTCGCAAAGTGGTATCACGACCAACACGTCTATATCGGTTTCTAGCATGAAACTTCACATTTGACCATTCCACCCCTCCCCCTCACCTCTCCTCCATCCCCTCAGCTACCACCTACACCATCAACCAACTCTCCAGCACCACACACGCGCGGAGACACGCAAATACACACACATACGCAAAGACACACGCGCAAACACACACAGAAACACACACGCATACACTCACGCAAACACACACGCGCAAACACAGAAACACACACGCATACACACTCACGCAAACACACACGCGCAAACAAACACAGAAACACACACGCATACACTCACGCAAACACACACGCGCAAACACAGAAACACACACGCATACACTCACGCAAACACACACGCGCAAACAAACACAGAAACACACACGCATACACACTCACGCAAACACACACGCGCAAACAAACACAGAAACACACACGCATACACACTCACGCAAACACACACGCGCAAACACAGAAACACACACGCATACACTCACGCAAACACACACGCGCAAACAAACACAGAAACACACACGCATACACTCACGCAAACACACACGCGCAAACACAGAAACACACACGCATACACACTCACGCAAACACACACGCGCAAACACAGAAACACACACGCATACACACTCACGCAAACACACACGCGCAAACACAGAAACACACACGCATACACACACGCGCAAACAAACACAGAAACACACACGCATACACACACGAACAACCTCCCCTCACCCACCACCTTGCACCAACAACCACCTCTCCAGCACCACACACTCGCATACAAACACAAACACACACACGCGCGCGCACGCACGCAAATACACACAACTCCCCTCACCCATCACGTCCCCCCTACAATCCCCTGTCCCCCACCTACAATCCCCTGTCCCCCACCTACAATCCCCTGTCCCCCATCTACAATCCACTGTCCCCCACCTACAATCCCCTGTCCCCCACCTACAATCCCCTGTCCCCAAGCCTACAACCCCCTGTCCCAAACTACAATCCCCTGTCCCCCACCTACAATCCCCTGCATGTCCGCCTGTGGGTTCATGTATTGACCACTTCTCACAGTTCATGTCATAACTCACATGCATCATCCCGAGTTGTTTACAGACAATGTCACGTGTGATGCCAGCGTGTTACACAAGGCTGCAGGTTCGGACGCTGCCACCTACGACGTGGTGCATCACGTTGCACTGACAATGTAAATATGACGCGGTCATATTGGATCTCCAAAGTTTACCTGGAGACTCCTTCAGTACAGCATGAACTCCATCGACTGTGTCAACATGGCGAGGCCACTGACGGGGAAAAACGCCTATTACAGGAGTGTACATTTGATATGAGGGAGTGGGACTTTTAAAAAGCAAAATCTGTTCCTGAATATACAAAGCAAATCGATGATCTGACTTATAAAGTGTAGTGTGTCAAAGACCTGGTCCGGCATCGTCTCTCAGGGTAGACCGACTCCGTGGTCGAGATGTAGAGCGTCGGGTGACCGGAAGGTCGGTCCGGCATCGTCTCTCAGGGTAGACCGACTCCGTGGTCGAGATGTAGAGCGTCGGGTGACCGGAAGGTCCGTGATTCGATCCCCGGCCGGGTCATACGTGAAGACGTCATCTCTTAAGGCGTTAAGAGATGGCACTTTTGTTGCACTGCTCGGCATTAAGCGAATAAAGTTGTTGTCCATAAAATGTGTCAACGTTGTCAAACAAGGACTGGTCGGCTCAGAGTAAATATACGGTGTCTGAATGGGGTATTTCTGTTGGACTTGTCAACTCGGTGTCAGTGAGTAAGTTTGGTTTTACGTCGCTTTTAGCGATATACCAGCAATATAACGGCGGGGGACACCAGAAATGGGCTTCACACATTGTACCCATGTCGGGAATTGAACCTGGGTCTTCGGCGTGACGAGCGAACGCTTTGACCACTAGGCTACCCGACCGCCCCTCAGTGTGTGAGTAGGGTTATTGTTAGTAGTACAAAGACTGACCCTGGGTCCCGGCCGCCCAACCAGCTGACGTGGCTACTATTATAGCATTTTTAATCATTACTGGAATCTGTCTCGGCTGATAAACGATATTGAATATTCTATGGAATGGACGTTTCGTATTTACAACATAACAAAGAGCTGACAATGGGGTTCATATCGTATGAAACATGCCTATCTGGGACGCCAGGTGCTGAAGCCAATGAAGCATTGCGGATGTATGTTCTCCCGGATACAAGGCTCCAGCTGGCGCTTTATTGATGTAGGATTAGATCACAATCATCAGTATTTAGTAACCCAAAACGTTTACTGAATATTCTCACTCAGATTACTCTTCAGGTTTTAGTCCAACGTGACATTTGATACATGGCTTGTGTATTTAACCTACAGAGGGTCACGATAAGGTCGGCATAAAACAACAAGAAAGTCGGCATGTAACCTAGAGAAGGTCGGCATAAAACAACGAGAGAGTCGGCATGTAACCTAGAGAAGGTCGGCATGAAACCTAGACTCGTATAATGTCTTTGTGTGTCCTTGTGAGTCACTGTATACACCAGTATGGTGTCATTGTGGGTCACTGTATACACCCATATGGTGTTCTTGTGAGTCACTGTATACACCCGTATGGTGTCATTGTGAGTCACTGTATACACCCGTATGGTGTCCTTGTGAGTCACTGTATACACCCGTATGGTGTCCTTGTGAGTCACTGTATACACCCGTATGGTGTCCTTGTGAGTCACTGTTTACACCCGTATGGTGTCCTTGTGAGTCACTGTATACACCAGTATGGTGTCCTTGTGAGTCACTGTATACACCCGTATGGTGTCCTTGTGAGTCACTGTATACACCCGTATGGTATCCTTGTGAGTCACTGTATACACCCGTATGGTGTCCTTGTGAGTCACTGTATACACCCGTATGGTGTCATTGCGAGTCACTGTATACACCCGTATGGTTTCCATGTGAGTCACTGTATACACCCGTAAGGTGTCCATGTGAGTCACTGTATACACCCGTATGATGTCCATGTGAGTCACTGTATACACCCGTATGGTGTCCATGTGAGACACTGTATACACCCGTATGGTGTCCATGTCAGTCACTGTATACACCCCTGTATGGTGTCCATGTCAGTCACTGTATACACCCGTATGGTGTCCTTGTGAGTCACTGTATACACCCGTAAGGTGTCCTTGTGAGTCACTGTATACACCCGTATGGTGTCCATGTCAGTCACTGTATACACCCGTATGGTGTCATTGTGAGTCACTGTATACACCCGTATTGTTTCCTTGTGAGTCACTGTATACACCCGTATGGTGTCCATGTCAGTCACTGTATACACCCGTATGGTGTCATTGTGAGTCACTGTATACACCCGTATTGTTTCCTTGTGAGTCACTGTATACACCCGTATGGTGTCCTTGTGAGTCACTGTTTACACCCGTATGGTATCCTTGTGAGTCACTGTATACACCCGTATTGTTTCCTTGTGAGTCACTGTATACACCCGTATGGTATCCTTGTGAGTCACTGTATACACCCGTATGGTGTCCATGTGAGTCACTGTATACAAGGGTATAGTGTCCTTGTGAGTCACTGTATACACCCGTATGGTGTCATTGCGAGTCACTGTATACACCCGTATGGTTTCCATGTGAGTCACTGTATACACCCGTATGGTGTCCATGTGAGTCACTGTATACACCCGTATGATGTCCATGTGAGTCACTGTATACACCCGTATGGTGTCCATGTGAGACACTGTATACACCAGTATTGCGTCCTTGTGAGTCACTGTTTACACCAGTATGGTGTCCTTGTGAGTCACTGTATACACCCGTATGGTGTCCATGTGAGTCACTGTATACACCCGTATTGTTTCCTTGTGAGTCACTTGGTATCTGGAAGATTTCCACGGCGACCGAGAATATTTTGCCTATTTTTTTTAATTTTGGTATGTTGACATATATATGTGATTTTCATATCTGTTTGAAGGCTTGATATTCCAAAAATATAAAGTGCATATAGTTGAGTAAGGGAATGGAATGTTTTACAGTGAGAAAGCTGTCAAAATGGATCCAATATTAAACAACCTTTTCCAATATTTTAGCCTCAAACAGTAAAAGTAATGTAAAAATAATTAAATCTACACACAACATATAGATAATCGATTTCTTAATGTTTTCAGTGTAAATGTGACTTCATTTGGATGTTTTAAAGAGTTTTCATTATGTTTTCTCATCGTGCATTATCTTAATTATCAAATACTACGATCAGTGACATACCTATTTAGTAATAATTACTTTGTTTGGTCAAAAGAAAAAGGAAAGACATAATAATCGAAAACCATTGATACTAAAGATTGTGCTAGGCATAATTTCGAAGTTCAATAGCAAGAGTATATATTTTTCCTTTTATGACAAATAATTCCATTACTTTTATTGACCTACAAGCATTATCTATTTCAAACTTTTCCTTTTTAGAATGGGATGAAATGGGAATCTGTACTGGAAATACGTATGGCCGTGAATGTTCATGTACACACCTAGGAGTAAAACACTTCAAAAGTCGTATTTATGAAGCAATATGAAAGAAAAAGATGTATTTCATGGCCTGGCGTTACAAGTACATTTTGAGCAAAGGCCTCGGTGAATCAGCCTAGTGCGGAATACAACTGACGGGAAGAGG